GAATGTGTTAATCTTTTTTTTACTTGTTATAATAAATTTTATTCTACATTTTATTTCAAAAACATTTTTATGTAATTTTAAATTTACCAGAATAAGTGCTATTTATAGCATTCAATGTTTTTCTAAATAAGCTAATTTATAAATCTTTGGGGTATATTTTGCCAATATTACTGCAAAATGACTTAAATTATATTTCATGTAAGCTTTACCTTAACGTCTTTATTGAGTAATTCCCTTTCTACAGAACTCACTTTTCTAATCTTGAAGTATTTACAAAGAAGAACATTTGAAAATTGTACTTTATTTAGAAAATAACCACTAACCTTTTTTGGATACAATAAGCACTCCTTAATTTTAAACTTGTCACATTCGAACTATTCAACCAAATTGCAAATCTTTTTGTAAACTTTACTAAACAGTATCTAGTTTCAGGTTTAAAAAGTCTCAAAATTTGATTTACTTTTCTTATAATTTGTTATGTTGTGAAATTTCTAAAATTTTGTTGGGATACTGCTTTGTAAAACATTAAAAATACTTCGTTTCATCTCAAATTTTAATTATTTTTATTGTTAATCAGAAATGTTCTACTTATATATATATATATATATATTCAGTTTCAACTTGATACATATTCATAACTTATTTATTTTCATACTTTATTTTAATTACTGTAGTAGATACCACTTCCACCCCAAAACTGACAAAGATTTATCAGTGACCTACAGCCTAATCTGTCACAATAATATATAGATATGTAAAATTTAAAGACAAAGGAACTGCTGGTCCATATTGGCTGTCCACTAAACTTTAAAATAAAAACACTCAAAGTCAGCCTTATTCAAATATTTATTAACTCTTCCCTTAAATTAACTGTATCCATCGCTTCTGAAGACAAGTAATTCCAAAGTCCAAACACCCTGTTCGAAAAATAAACCTAGGTAACAGTATTTTTGCTGACAATATTCTTGATTGAAATCAATAATATTCAATAATTAAAGATCTGAGCCACTGGAATATTTTGGTGTCACTTACTGTAATCTCTAAACCTATATAATTTAGGCTTACTTGATGTTTTGTCATACATTAATATTTATGTAACTTCAAACAAGTACAATGTAACATAAAAAAATAATTTCTGCAATCAAAAGAGTGCCTGAGGAAACTTTAAAAAAATTCACAGATCTGTCATTTGTTCATAAGTCTTCAATTCTTCCCAATAAATCCCTCTGCTCAGGAGCAACTTCTAATCATATCCCCACAAACCCATAAAATTACTTAATTCTCACACCACTATATATTTAATGTACATTGACATAAATATTTTATAATCTCCTCTACAAAATGGTATTTAAACTCTGCCTTTAGCTATTTTCAAAGATGAACTCATTAGTAGTTATGTCACACCCTGTAAGGTCATAAAAGGGTGGGAATGAAAGGCTGTACTAATAAAATCAGGAAAAAAAGGAAAATTATGAGAAACAAAACCTTCAGAATTATACTTTTAAGGGATGATAGTTTCTTAGTGAGTATAAACCTATGCTTTCGAATGGCCAAAAAAATTATACAAATTTATGTGTGTTGTTTATAAGCAAGACTCCAGACTCCTCAGAGCTATGCAGAAATGCAAGTTGGAAATTTTCTCATCTTTCTTTGTGAAGTTCACTAAATAAATGATAAAAATATCAATTCTAAAACATTTTTGAGCAAAAAAGTGTTGAAATAGAGTAGAATTACTACTTTTATTTCAATTTTGATATTTTACAAGCAGGTGCTCACTACTCCAGACAGTGCTTTTGTTTAGTATTAATTGTGCCTCAGCTTTTGGTTTTCAGATAACGATACAGTTGGTTTTAATTACTTTTATCTGTGTGAGATAGGTATATAGATATTAAGTGCTACATATAATTTGGTTTAAATGCTTTAGTGGGTGAAGTGTAACAGAGATTGGCCAAGTGATCTATTGTGGATTGGACTTGGGCAATTAGTGGAATTTTATAATTGATTAATCATCAGGTTCATTAATTGATTACATTCAAGTAATAGATTATTTCTCTGTGAGACTGGGATAGTTGGAAGTTCAATTGTGGCTAAATTAATCAATTATTTTTATGTGACACTAATCAATATACCTGATGCTCATAGGTAATTGATTATATCAATTGAGTTACCTGACCAACTCTGTAGTTGATTGTTTGTTGAGTCCTTAATGAATTCAACATGAATTTCAAAATGTCATTAAAAACATATGAAGAGTTATAAGTACATAGTACACACTCTTAACATGTCTGATACACTGGCAAAACTAGAAGAAAACATAAATTGCTAATAATATCAAAAAGATTATTGGAACACAAACTTCATAAATTTTGAGATGAACATTTTTAATTTTTAAAAATCATCTTACTGTGCTGGAACTATTTATTTAGTAATTTCAAAAAGAATTTATGCTGTGGATATCATTAACTATATTAATTGATATAACCGATTACCTATGAGCACTCATTACACTAATTAGTGTAACACTAACTTAAAATAACCAATTAATGTCACAAAAACTAATTAAAATACTGTTTCTGATTATTCTATCTATCCAGTAACCTTAATATTATCGTTATGACTTTTCATTATTTTTGATTAATTCAAGTTGTTCATCTTAATCAATTACCTTCACAACTTACAAAAATGATCACTTAGTTCAAAATTAGAGTTTCTGATTATTACTGTTTTTGATTTTTCTAACCATCCAAGTAACTGAAATATTGCCATTATGTTTGTTGTTATGCACAAAACTACACAATGGGCTATCTGTGCTCTGCCCACAACAGGTACCTTGTGAGAATAATTGATTAGTTGAATGTAATCGATTAACAAGAACCACTATTAATTGATTAGCAATTAAAATTGTTAAGTATCACTTGATTTTATTTGAAAACAGACTTGCTCATAAAAAAATATAACAGGGAAGATTACACCTAATAACTGAAGATAAAGAAGAAAATCAGTGATAAATGCCAATAGTTTAAGAAATTTAAATTAACACACAGAAAGGATGATTTACAGAGCCATACAGAACCTAGAGATTTGATATAAAATATATTAAGAAATTCAAAAGAGCATAAGAGAGTCAGCTTTCTGATAAGATTAAAACTAGCAGTGAGGATTATTTTTAAGTATGTTAAAGGTAGGCTAAATATTAAAATAGGGATTGGGCCCTTAAAGGATGCCGATGGAAAGATTTTGTTAAGACTATTTAATGGCTGAATTTTTAAATGTTATCTTCTGTTTTTTTATTAAAGAATATATCACCAATATTCCTCACCCTTAACATTTTATTGATAATATTATAATTCACTTGAACTAGTAAATATTTATCCCTTGGTGATAATTAAAAATACTTTTAGGCTAGAAATAGATAAAGCACTAGGACCATAAAAAATTTTCCCCAGCATTTTAAAGACAGTAAAATATTAGATATGCAAGCTTCTAACACATTTTTCATTCAAAAAAGGAGAGAAAGAGGCGATAACTTCATTCTTTATCTTTTTTTTTCTTAATTTGTGTGAATGGATGGGTAATGTTGTACTCCCTTCCTATAGAAAAATTCTATAACACATAAACCATTATTAAAATACAATTAACATTAAAGAAAAATATTATAACCTTAGAAAATGAAGGCCTTAACTTAACAAGTAAAACAATATATATATATATATATATTGCTAACCTTGCTACATTATACATAGATTCTCAATATATATATATATATATAAATTTTATACTTATCTATCCCATGAATGCATTTGTATGCTTTGCTTATAAGTTTTGTTTATTTACCTTATACTTTTTTATAAAACTAATAATTTTTTCACTGATTAATCATTGAGAAACAAGATTGTGTCTACAGTTTTTCTCTGTGTGTGTGTGCACTAACTATCAAACTATAAAAGTACATCCAACAAGTTACACAATACAGAATTGTAAAAACACAATTTTGTTCTTATAAAAATTAAATGGTATTTCATACTTATACACACAAGGCTTTAAACATGTTTATATTTAAAAAAAAAAACAATAACAAAATCAGCATCCTTAACACTAGTAACAGTTACAAGTTTAATACATACTTTCTGAAGCTTTTCAAAACAGTAAGAAATTATTTATGGAGTTTGTATTTCACTTGTTTTATATGTCAAGTACTCATTCAATAAAATAACATTAACCATGTAATCTTAGTTCTATTCTTCAAAAAGTTTTCTTCTAAAGTAAATATGCTAGAACTAACGATCTAACAATTAAAGTTTAGATACAGTTATTAAAATACAATTAACATTAAACATAAACATTATAACCTTAAAGAAATGAAGACCTTAAATTAACAAGTAAGTCAATAGCTTTTAATTTTATCATTCATAATATACAATTTACATTGTAAGTTACAACTTACAAGTAACTCATTTGATAGATAAATGTTCAACTTCAAATGACGAATGTGACAGCATTTAAAGATTAACCTAAATTTTGGATACTAACAATGTTTGGTCAGTACAGACTTAACTATTCTAGTATACCATCACTAATTTCTGGTATATATGGATCTTTTTATGTTAGTTTTTGCACATTTTTTTTTTTTATCCTGTATCTACTGATCTAATGCATTTCTCTATAGGCTATACTCCCTACACTCCTATTCTTTTTTAGTATTTATAGTAAATTCTAGTGCAAATAAAACTGGCAAATTGTAGTATCATTTATTAGATATACTACTTAAAGTAACAATTTTCTAATCATAACACAATATTTAAAAATTAAAGATCAGGGCAAGGCTTAACCATAACAACGTCATAAGCCTAACATCACCCAAAGTTTGAACTAATGCTGTCGATAACTCACAAATGGGTATATTTTTAAACTTTCACACAATAATAGAGTTTTACACCATGTCCAAACATATAAGCTTGAATATTACATAAAACTTGAACGAAAACGTTGTTTAAACTTACCATCAAAAGTAAAAATTGTTCTTTTCTGATATCAGAACGCTAGCGACACCTGGTTTCGTTCATACGTTAGTTACTCATACAATCTGATGTTTAGAAACACAAGCCCGACTACTATGTATGTTCTACTAGCATCGGCAGTACAGCAGTCGAGGATGGGGGAGTAAATGATTACGAAAATTAGACCAAAATAATCATAAAAGTTATAAAGTTAAAAAAATAATATCTCAATTTCCTTTAAAAATATGTTATATATTTAATACAAAACTACTTGAGTTTTTCTCTACCTGAAACATGCCGGCCGTCGACTCTTACTCCAGTGACATCCAGTTCTCGAATAGTGTCGTTATTAACGAGACATTACAGCTATACCAGAACCAAAGCGACAGATAATCATGTATTTTTTCCGTTCTCTCCTTCTCTTTTTCTCTCTCTATCTCTTTTAATTTGTGTGGGGGTTTATATGAACAGGTAATGTTCTATTCCTTTTCCAAAGGAAACTAGTTTTAGTCTACTTATTTTTTTAAATCTGACACAGAAAATCAAAACGTGCTCAGGCCCGTTCCCGGTATGTTTGAAAGGGATTTTTTTTTTTTATTATTTGTGAGATCAAAACGAAACCACCAACCACTAACTTACGTTGGTTTTGGTTTCGTAACTTAAACCTAACCTTTAAGTTTAAAAAAAAAGGTAAAAAAAAGTCGTACTTACTACG